GGTCCTTCGATTATTCTAGTTTGGCGAAAGTTTAACGAAAGTAGCTTGAAACAGAAATTGGGGAAAAGAGGGAAAAGTGCTGAGTGCTTTCAAAATTCACATCTATAGCAGAGAACAGCCACGATGGTGAGGCTAACGTCATTTCGAACTGTCTTGGGTATAAGATTCAAAAAGTCTCAAAACTTTTAGATATTATAATATTGCATGGAGAGGTTGCGAGGAGTCAGTGCCTAGCGTTGGCAGCAGTGATCAGTTTAAACCTTCGCGCTGCGCTTTTCTAGAAATTTAAAGACATTCGTCCCACTTCAGGGGGATCCCCATGCGACCCCCGCCTTCATCTCGTCTTAGAAGGCTACCCCAATACGCTCTCTCCGCCCTACCCCGACCGTTACCCTCACCATCATATCTGTTCTGTGCTATTGATTTGAATTCTGAGACCACTCACCACTTGTCTTGTCATGTCTGTTTCAATCCGCTTTCGTGAGACTTTCGCCAATTGGAATCATCGAGAGCGTCAAGATCAATCTCCTTTTCCACAAACACGATGCATTTAAACTCAAAAATCCCGACCCCGTTCGCATTTTTCCTGGATTATTAACCTTGCTCAAACCCCTTCCAGAACCGCAACACGGCCCTCCCAAAACTGCAAATTGCGACCACCTCGCTCAAATATTGCGAACGATGGTTGACCCTGGTGCTAACAACTTGATTACCAGTGTTTGATTAGCTGCTGTTCGCGCCCTGACTTTTTATCTCTCGTCGATTTGTGTTATCAGTCAAGGGAGGGAGAATAGTGAGGGACAGCGAGTCATATGCAGTTACTTGGCAGTGTTCGCTAAAATTTCACGATTAACTTTGACAATGGCACAGAGATCAGGGAACATCTTCTAGCGCCAGTAATCCAATCGGATTTCAAAGGGGCTAATGTTGAATACACTGATTGGTCTGGTTTTTGTTGCAATTTTTCATTAAGGAGGTGAAATTCTTTTCGGGAACACGCAACAGTGCTTGATTTTCTGAACGGATGGGTTTCGAATGCGTGGCATAGTGGAAATGACTCTTGTTCATTAAACGTCGCTGTTTAAATCTTTTGCGGTCGTCGAAAAGGCGATTGCTGAATTTTATTTCGAAATCACAGAAAGAATTAAGCGCCAATCAATCGAAAGAAATCGAGAAAAACCAAAGGAATGAAATAGGATTGCGAGGCACTTTGCAAAGGACGCTTTCGCATTCGGCGTCCCGCATAGTGCACACATCGGGAGGATTTTCACATCCATTGTGTCTCCTAACTCATACAGTGTGGTGCCGATGGGAACTCTGTGATAGGAGTATTTCTATAATTGACAACATACATACTTGAAAACTTTGCAGGTATTCCTTACTTTTTGTTGTAAATACACATAACCGATGCTTCAATTACAAAGTTGTTCTCGTCAACGCACTGTTCATAGTTGCAACCGACCTCGTAGATATCCTAATAAGCCATCTGAAAAGTGAGTTTCATATTATTCGTTGTTAATATGACTGAACAATCCGTGTGGAAGTGATTTCGAGCGGATAGCTGTATGTCTATGCTCAGCGGCTGACGTGTTTCGTGCACACGGCAGGCTGAGTTCTAGAAGACTCGTTATCAACATTAAGCTCAATCCTTGTTCAAATCTATCCAAGGAAGGACTTTGAACTTCCACATCCTGTTACGTGCGCTTCTATTTACAATTGATACTTCGATTCACAAAATCAGAGCTGGTTCCGTTTCATTTCTAAAAAACAACTTATTTTCTGATTCATGTGTGTGTTATATTGAAGCATCAATGTTCACTTCCATTGCTCAAAAACGCTTATATCCTGCATTGCCAGTTAAGCGATACTGATCTTCTGATCTCGAAATAGTTCGCACTTCGATCGCAGCGATGGTTTGCATTGTGATAAATCTTGGGGCTGTTGCTCGCTTTTGTTCCCTTATTCTGTAATTACGTCCTGACAATTTCTCCACAATCCTCTAGAGCAATTCAAAAAGGAAAATTTGAAAGCTTCCAGTGATTGGTGAACCTTCTTCGTGCTGTGGCCATCGTTATTACGTGTCACTTCGCATTGTGCACATTTTCCATATGCAGGAAGATTAATTCTAGCATCACAACCTCAAGAGATTTCAGTCAGTTCCTTTGAAATAGGACAGAAATGATGACGGTATGTTCATATCTGACAAGGAATGGTCAACTGGTCGGTCCGGCCTTTTGTAATGAGGTGTAGTCCGATGCACGCGTCTTGCGACGCTGAGCTCAAATCCGTTTTCGGTTTTTGCCGAACGATTCTCTGAAAAAGTTACGAGGGATTTTCTCACTGTGGCTATCTCACTGTGGCCCTCTCTACATCCCCCTTTCCCGCTTGGCTTGCGTAGAAACAGAAAGACAATTATAAACGTTTCTGGTCTCGTATGAGCACCCTTGAAAAAATGCAAAAGTTTGTTACAGACATGCACAATACGT